ACATCTGCACTCAATACGGTATCTTCTGTCAGTTTTAAATAACACATGCTACTTTAACATGTTTGGTGATTATTTCTCCCTCAATATTCACGAGGTCATACATTACGTGCTGTGCTAATCGGCGCATTTCCAGATTGCACTCGGTGGAAAGAAAAATGCATGTGTGCATGTCTTACTGAGCCCAGGCTGTGTTGACAGATCCTCTCTTTGATCTCCTCCTGAATTGTAAGAGTAAATCACAGCATAAAACTCCAGTGTTCCTTACTACCGCTTTTTCAATACAGATCAGGTCCTCTAAAGACACTATAATATCTTTTCATGAAGACATAAGAAGGCCCTTTGTCTACAAAAGGCAGATTATACAGAGCAGGTATGTAGATGTTGTATCACAGTTATGAATGAATCAAGACACATTAGTCCCTCATGGAACCAGGGAGATCCAGGGGGATTCTGTACAAATGCAATAAATCAGGGTTGCTAAGAAGCAACCAGCAAAATGGAGAGCTGATAAAAAATACTCCTGATCATTTGGATATATCGGTGTGTGCATTTTTTTACTGCATCTTTAGGATTCATTCCCCACTGCTCCACCACCTTCTCTATAATTCTATATTTGTAAAAAAATAAATAAAAGTATTTTAGGACAAAAGAGGCAACTAACATGCGTTAACGTTCGCTTGCGCGAGATGAAGACAAAGAAGCAATCAAATCAGACCTTGAGAAGCAGAGTGCCTGTGAAGCACGATGATGAATTACAGAGATTTCAAGCCATAAAGCAGGAGAACCGTCTGGAGTCACTGACATGCGATCATCAAGGCAAGACAGAGCAACGTGGCAAACTGCAAAGGCGGCTCTGCTCTGCCATGACAGCAGAGTGCCAGCGGGACGCCCCCCTTCTGCCCACTCCCATTAGGCGCCCTGGTCCAACCGGCCCACCATCCACAGGGCACAGGGCCCCATCAGATCCAGCCTCCGCAGGTCAGGGTAAGGCCTGGCCAGGGGCCATCGGCACATTTTAACTTTCAACAGACACGCTGAAAAGGGGACCTCTCTCTCTCTCCAGTCACTGCACCTTAAAGCACCGTCGGATGTGTCTCTTTAACAAGACTTTGTCCAGAACTGCAGCTTCAGGGAGGCTCGAGAACCAGAGGAGAGAGCTGCCAGGAGCAGTGGGACTACAGTATGCTGTCTGATCTGTGCACCACAGGTTATACAGGTGCCATGCAAGAACAGCACGAGCACACCTGGGCATTCACACACCGCACACAATGATAAGAAATTCACTGCCAATCCTATCTCAGGTTTCCTATTATTGTTCTCTTCTCAGAATTCTGTATGCCAGTGTGAATCACAAAGCATTATTTAAGCACATCAAAGTGTTGAACAAACCTAAACCAAAGAACATTATTTCAAGATGAAGAACACCAACTGCAACACATCCTAAAGAATCAGTCATCCCAGGCCACACTGGCATATTGGCATTCTTTATCTGTAATAAAATCATGAAAATCTTTATTCCCAGGATGAATAAACATTTGGAAAGCCTTGAAGTGCTCACTGACAGATATTTCTAGATCAAGAATATAACTCTCAAAATTTGTTGATATTTAAAATTTAACAAATAATATCCCTTACACTTAACAGTTTTCTGGATAATCATATTATTGCTACAGGATGACTTTTATACAGGCAATCAAACTTTAATTAAGGTTAAAAAAAATCCTATATAAGCAGCTCTATACAATATGTATAGCTGCTTCATTTAACTTTGACTAGTCATGTCTAAAAATGGTCTCATTGAAATTGGGGAGCATAATGCTTTTATTTTGTGATCAGTGGCTCTTGAGCAGCTACTGCTGATGGAGAGGACTGGACCTGAGCTGCAGGCTCCTGGGAGAGGGTTAAAACAAACAACAGATTTATGGAGAAAACACACACTTCTTCATCCTGCACAGAAGCCTCAGCAGATATATCTGCCCCCACCAGGAGTACCAGAACGGCATGGCTAACCTGTGACACAAGGGTAAACTAAGGAAAACCCGCCCGCATCCACCACCGAAAGAGCCAAGAAACTAAATACACTAATGCAGAGCCATCGACGATAAATATTGAACAGACTGGAGAATAACAGAAAGTGGACCCTTCTGTGTTGTTGTTTTTTTATCAGTTTGAAACTACCACTTAGATTGGGGATTGATTTTGAATTTCTGTTGTCAGCAGATGAGGTGCTAGGAATGGCGATAAGACCTGCTCCTTAACTACAAGCCCACAGTTTCAAGACCGTAGGCTCCTGCCTGTTTACAAATCTGGGTTTCCTCTGCTGAGGTCAGAAATTCTGCAGTACACTGCATCAAGGAAATGTTTTTGGGTATTAACGCATTGCACTCAGATACACTTGTTCACACTTTTAGAGTCTTTAAATTGCATTTTATGCATTTAATGCACTTTTGTATTATTGTCACTGACTATTAATTGCAAAGAGCTGTGAGCCATTTTGTAGGATTATTTCGACATAAACGTTTGCTGTGTGTGAACTTGTTGCACAGATAAATTCCTGCTATACATACACAACTGATTACAATCTGAATGTAACAGAGTGGGTTTTTATCTGCTACACTGCCATGTTCATGAAGAAGAAACTATTGTCCTGTACATAAGAGCAGTGCTAAGCTACCACCATTTCTCAAGTGATGACAAATAGTCTTAAAGCTTCAATGTACAGGCCACTGCAAAATACCCAACCCCAAGCAGTCTATCTATCCACAGCCCACTCTGCCTCCAGCTGACAACACAGCGTGGTCTGGAAGTGAGAGAAAGGTTCAGCAATACAGGGAATCGGGCAGAACCGGCCAAGAGGATTACCTCAGCCTCTCTTCTCGTTTCCCAGAATTCATGCAGCTGACGGCACGGAAAATTGCTTCACGCCAGGATGAGGCCTCTCCTGCCCCAGCTAACGCCGGCTCGCTGCAAAATCGAAACTGCTGCCGGGCTTCACAAAAAGGCAGCGACCAACCAACAGCTTCTCAAAAAAGGCAACCCACAGGGATTCGAAGACGCTAACAAAACCCTTCGTCACGGGTGTCAGCAGGCAGCTGCGTCACCAGGCTGCTGGGGCCGTGCAGAGCTGCGACTGCAGCACGCTTCGTTACAGCCAGCCTCAAAACCAGGCGCACACTTTCACCACGCCAGGTGGGCCGCCTGCAAGGCCTTCACAGACGTGTGGAGGAACAGACAGTCCCCACCAGAAACCCAAACACCGCTGGATTAAGCAGCACAAGTCTCCGAGTGCAATACCTACAAAAGCTTAGCTGATTGGCATTCCAGTGACGTGTCCTTATTGATCTGTACATGAATCATGAGAGCACCATTAGGCAGCAAATATTACGTTTTCTTGGGATCAGCCGGGGAGGGGGTTTGGCAGCAAACACCATTCCATGACGTTGCTTAACTATAACAAGTGAACCCAAATGGGATAAAAACAAAAAGGCCTGCCAGCAGAAAAAACTTCCACACCGGGGACGACAACATTGACGGATCTGACCCTCGTCAGCAGCAAAGCACTTTGCAGACGGGGTGAATGGGGACTCGCAGAGCTTTTATGAGCCGTTAGCCTTGCTTCTGCACGTCAGGACCCAGACTCCAGCCCAGCTTCCATTAAACACTGACTGCCCCCTGGCTGCCTCCCCCCCTCCGCTCCCGTTATTGGATTTTATACAGCTCATAAATGAATCAGGAGGAGTTAGCAACCAAGACAATTACCCGTGCTCTTCCGCCCCCTCCTATCCCACCTACCCAGCCTCTCCCTTAGCTGCTTTTCGTGAGCGACTTCCCTGAGGACTAAGGTAGTAAAATGGAGACGGGCAGCATGATGCTCTCTGCACAACGGGGGAACATCCCTGCCAAGTGGCAGATCGCGCCATGGAAGGTGTTTTCTCTTCCTTCAGGCAAACCCCAGCCCCTGCAACAGCAGCACCGCAGCTGGTGAATGGTTTCTAAGTTCCTGGGAGTTTGCGGCAGAGCCAAAGCTGCTGTGTTTGCAGGGCGAGCTGTGTGAGATACATTTTTATTTTGCATCTGCAATTGTTTTTTTTTTAGGGGGGGTTTCCCCCCGGACAAGCGTCCGGCTTTCCTTCTGCCGCTGCTGACCAGCAATGGAAAGCCAGCATCAGCGACGAACCCGGCCGATGCTACACTCGTCCCATTGTAGCTGGATGTAGGGTGGAGCTCGGCTCGGGCGATCGCTGCTCTCTCATGACATGCCGGTTCAGTAGAGGATAGCCTCAGTCCGGGCCAGGAGAAAATAAAAAAAAAAGCTAAGGGGGTCTCCTCTACAACGGCATGCTAACGGGGTCTTAAGAAACTGACCCTATCCCCTATTGGATTAAAACAGATGTATTCACAAGCCTGCTTCTTTACAGGGCTGTATCACGTCACAGGAAGTTTTGTTGCCTCATTCTGAACCATAGAACATGCCGCTGCACATGCGTGGAAATTCTGTCTATGTTGTGATGTAAATTGGAGGTTTTACAAGTTAACGTGTACATTTTACTTTCAATGTGGTTTGAAATGACTCATCAATGCGGATTCTTTCTAACCCCGAAATATAGAAATTGTGTTGCAGTTCCCCTCAAGTCAAACCTTTAATGAAGAAGAAGGAAAGTTACAAATGAGAAGAAGCCATTCAGTCCATCTTGCTTAGCAGCTGACTAGTAACTACAGTAACTAGCAGTAATTTGATCAAAGGATCCCTTCCAGCTATTTCATGATAGAAATCAAAGCCTGTTCCAAACCCCAACAACCCTTTGTGTAAAGCAATTCCCTCCTGTTCTCGGATTTCAGTGCACTTCTACTACTGAACACAAGTTACTGTTATTTATAAATGTCAGCTGAAGGATACAATCATTCTGTAACACTTTTTTCCCCCCCGAAGATCTGTGAAAAGGATGCAGCCACTGGTGCCCCAGAGCAGAGGGCAGGTGAACGGGGAACAGGGCACTCACCAAAGACATTCTCCGACTCCCCTCCCTGTGCAGAAGACATGGTGCAGCTGGCACTGGAAAAAAGAAAGGTGAGGGCAGTCAGACAGGAAGGAGGCCAGTGAACATGCCCAGAAGGCCCAGGCCTGAAATCAAAGAACAAAGATGAAACACTCCCAATAAAAAATGAGATATGAAGAACATCCACAAAACCATAATGGACAGCAACTGATTGAACACACTTTTGAACTATCTGCTGTGCATGTGTATATAAACTTACCTCAAGAGATGAACAACAAGCCCAAAATAATACACATCCTAGTAGCATTAACTGATTTCTGATTTTCCACTTAAACCTTTACCAACCATACCAATGAAACGCAAGAAGACCAAGATTCTTGATGAAAAAAACGGTTTTGATCTTTTTTAATGATCAGTGCAAAACTATGGGAACTTCAAATAAGACTTCTTATATCGATATAATCCCATACTGGTGACTTTGCCTTGTTTTAGATGAGGTTGTAAAAAAGGCCAGAGAGCAGGTTTTAATCCTGGAGGCAGCAGAAATAAGCTTTTTGGGCATGAGCGCTCCTGGCACGTCTGCTCGCAATATATTCTTATTATTTTTTAATGCCGTCTAATATTTTTGTGCTCACGCAGATTGTTTTTTTGGGGGGTGTAATGTTTCTAGACTCGTGTACAGTGAGTATTGCATCAAACTGCATCAAGCCAAAAGCAATTTATAGTAGGGTTGCTTTCAAAAAGATACTCCTGCATAATGAACCTATATTTAACCAGATGAGTCAATTAAAAACAAAATCTTATTTCTCATGATGACCTGGAGAGCATACAATCAAATAGACGCTGCAGAGCCAGCACTCGATGCTCTTTCTCTTTAGTGCTCATAACATTCTTATTCTGGGAATTCGGGTAACTGTCCAATGGCTGGGAAGTAAATGGTTTGACTAAGGTCATTATTATTATAAGGACAAGGTAGACAAATGTAAAGCAAAAAGGGGAAAAAAGCCCTCTCGTGCTGAGCTTGTGATCTTGCAGTGAAGAAATATTTTAAAACTATGAGAGCTAAGCCATTACAGGCAAGATACCTAGGAGAACTACATATTATATTGAGAATTGTTTTGCAAACAAATCTCAATATCATCTTCTTACTAATAAGCACCCAAACCCAGAGCACTCAGTTCTAGGCATGGAGCACTGTCTTCCTGTGGTGGGGAAAGCTCATTCACAGACTTGTACACAGTATACATACTGGACGAACTGATAAAGCAGGCACACGGGACCCAGTGCCAAGAGTGGATGGGCAGACCAGGGGAGAATGCCATCTGCCACACCTGCCTGCAGGCAGTATGCTGTGTATGAACCTGCTGAAGACAGACAAGACCGAATGACAGATGGAGCTCAAGTTTGACTCATGGGGGGGTGGTCTATAAGCAAAGCCCCCCCCGCCACCCTGTATCTCAGTGAGTGTACTGCCCAGCTATGCAGAATATGCCCAGCTCCATTTCAGTCACTGCACTGTAGATCTGCCCAGGGACTGGCTGAAGTTAAACATTTATGAAATATGGGAGGCAGCCTTGCCCTCTGCATCCACAGGGATGACCTATGTGTATATTAAACCTGAGAAGAGGACCCAGAGCACACAGGCAGTACGCCGTGTTAGGGGAACTGGCTCAATGCGTGTGACAAATACCTCGTCCAGCGCCTGACCTTTGGCAATAAACATGTATGCTGCGTGAAACAACAGGACTCAATGAAGCTGTTTATTTCTCTGTTCTCCATCTGTCTGGAAACTGAATAAGGAGTTAGGCAGAATCACAGAGCACAGCCTAGCCAATTAGACAGATATTCAAACACGGAAAAAACAGAATGGGCAGATCAGCTTGCTTGTCTCAGAAGACCTCATCTGACAATTATCCATGGGTAGAGTCTACACACAAACCACAGGTGTAGTCGGGGAGTGATCATATCATATTATCATCTGTTTACCAGTGACTACATGAAAATGAGCCCAACTCTGAGCTCGCTTTAGGAAAGTTGGTAATTGACATTTCTGTGTCAGCCAGCTCAGCTGCAAACAGGGATGACACACATCTATCATTGCAGGACAGTGCAATGATAGCCTCCAAACCCAGACACTGTCCCATTGTGGGATTGCGGACTAAACCTCTCTGTGCAAGTAGACAATAAGAATGGGGTTCCTTAGCCGGTTACACATCATACCAAATATTACACAGTGTTTGCTGCTTCACATCAAGCAACCAGACGAGATCTGACATCATTTGAGGCATCAGACAAGTTTAGCGAGATCACATTCATCAGGGTTCTTAGTTTAGAGGGACGAGGGACTCTTTCATCACAGAGAACGACACGGCAAACACAGTCATGATCACACATGCCGGCATTTTCTCTCTGCACAAGAAGATATTTCTGGTAAAGATCGCAGCACTTATTAACATTCACCTAACAGGCGTTCTGGGTGGAGGGAGAGGGCAAACACAAAATAAAATCCTAGAAGAGTCTCCCCCCCCCACCCCCCCAGCCCCCCAATACACCGAAAATAAAGCTAGACTTTGTAACGGAGGAAGAAAAAAACCCTTCGTCAGGAGGAAAAAAAACTAACAAGCTAAAAAAAAACAAGAGGGAGAAAGAGGAGTGCAGGAGTGGGGGGGGTGCTGGTGGCAGACAAAACCGACCCAAAAAAATACAGAAAACAACACAGGCACTCACCTAAAACACAGTCGTGCCACGACAGCGACCAAACAGCATCCTGGGGTGCCGTAGTGCGCCCTTCTTTCTCTGTATCCTAGAGACGGTACATCTGTTTATCCACAGGGCAAGCCAGTCGCACTGCTCCGCTGAAATCAGATGCGCTCTTGCCAGGGAGCTCACCCAAGGACAGGAGAGAGAGAGGAAGAGCGAGAGAGTGGAAGGCACAGCCTGGAGTCTCTTTAATTTGAGCCCTGTGCTGCTCTCCCAGCACTGAAACAGCCTGCTCCCGGTATTTTCAGAGTGGGGGGAGGGACTGAGCAAGAGAGCTGAGGGGAGGCTGAGGCGGATGCGGGCTTGGGCACCGTAGACACGGAAGCAGCTGATTTTCAGGCTGACGAGTCATTGACTGAGGCTGCTATCCGTGTTCCCTCTCTCCCCCCTCCTGATTTCTCTCTGTCTCTTGCACACAAACATGCCACATACTCGAGATTCAAGGGGTCGGCTACCACTGATGGTCCTGTATTTATTTCCAAGCCCTCTTCTGATGTAAACCAGGGGGGCCTTGATGGAAAAGTGCAAATTACTGTGATGGATGAGAATCATGACCTCTGTGCACACACCCCGAGAAATGAATGGCACCTTAACCTCCCTCTCCCAATCCATTTTATAAGCAAACAATCACTCTGGCTTTGCTTTGTTGCTTAAGCCGAAAGTCTTTTGCAAATAATCACCTACTAATACACAGTACACATGCCATTCACGGTGATTCATGGATCAATAACCGACTTATTAAACGGCATCAGTCCATAGGATGTGCATGTCTAGAAACAAGTAAATAGCCATCCAAAGATGGTGTTTGAAATAGCGTAGCGCCCTTATTTTATGGGCACTTATCCTACTGAAAAAAACAACTCAACCCCTCCATTGCACTCCCCACCCCCACTCTCTCTGTTTCACACAACCTCCAGTCTCTATGAAACAATATGAACATGCTGTTCCCAGGGGTGCCATTAATACTGATGGAGTCGGGAGATTCATTGCCAGGGCTGAGAAACCAGTGTGATGATACCTCCACCCTCTACTTCACAACCTGGACAACTGACCTCGTGCAGAAAAATTAGACCCTAAAATCCGAGCTGCAGGTTTTTCTAATTCAGTTCTGAACAATTAAGGAGGGACTGCAGCTGAAGACTTTAGGAGGGTACACGTCACTGTGGAAAGAGTGAATTCTGGCTGGTACAGGATACTAGTGCTCTTTCGCTGTTTATTATTCAGTTCCTCCATTATTTTGGTTCTTTCTGTCTCTTTTGTGGATGCCTTTCTTGTAAAGCACCTTGAGATTATGCACCAAGAAAAGTGCTATATGGAAACATCTTTTCCTGTTCTGGTGCTTTACACCATCATTATAGACATGAGAAAATAACTGTACTGTAGTGCTTACTTAGCATAAAAAAAGATTTTTGTTAATCTATTGGTAGTTACTTAATTCTCTTTATGTCTTGGGACATAGGAAGCACCATGTGCTTGTTTGCCTTAAAGGTAAAAAGAAATCAGTGAAACGAAGCAAAAATCTGATGATACCAGGAAAAAGCCAAACCATACTTGGTATTCAAATATACAGCATTATTTACAGTCACTACTGTAAAGCAAATTGTTTCTCGTTCACATGCAAAAGCATTACAAAGTGAGGGGACTGTATGGTAAGGGCAACTATGTTACAAGTCTTATAAGCAGCTACACTCAGCAACGGGCTTGTCTGAAATAACGATTCCCTCCTCTGACATCTGACACAGTGCATTTCTTCTGGGTCAGTGCACAGCTCGGGCTAACTAGCACCTCTTTTAGGACTCAACACCGATTTGACAAGAGTACGTTCGGGGTTAAGAGAACTCAGTCTGACAGAAGTCGGCCAACTTCAGAGCAGACTGTGGCAATTGTGTTTAACAAGAAGAGAGTCCAAATACAGGCGGTTACGAAGAAACAGTCAAAAGCAAATTCCTGTTGAGTGGTCTCCTGTGGCACACCTTCCCAGCCCAGCATGTTTATTGATCTCAGAGGAAAGCCACTGTAATGAACTCCATACAGGGTACTCAGATTCCTTAATGTCACATCAGACGCAGTAAAAAGGAATGCAATAACTGTGGTCTGAACCCCAAGGTGACACACTGGCTGTGTAGCTAAAACACCTGGATCTCTGTTGTCACAGTGCCAGAACTTCCACTGCAGGTCATTAAGCCATGCACCTCTTCTGAGAAGACCAGAAAGAGACCCCTCAAGTAGAGGCCCACTCACCTGGACTCAAAGGGGAATGGCAACGCTATATTTACATCTCAGGGTTATATTTCAGAATCAGCATTCTTTCAGTTCATGAGTGCATTTCAAACCACAATAAAAGCAAAATGTCTGGTCACACACTGACATGCAAAACCTCAGATTTACATCACAAAACAGACAAAATTTCCAGGTCTGTGCAGAGGCAGGTTCTGCAATTCAGAATGAGGCAACAAAACCTCTGGTGACGTGAAGGGGCCCTGTGACACTGTAAACAAGCAGGCTTATGAATACAATTTTAATCCAATAGAAATACTGCTCTAAATTTTGAGACACTTTTGCAGACAAAGACTACTTGTTAACTCAGCAAGCAGATGGAGTCGGAACTGCAGCGAAAAGTGTGCTGTAAAACCTGTACATCACATTACATCAGTCATCACAGTGGCTGGTGAGCAGAAAGGGCGGCTTCACGAACTCTCACTCTCGCCCGTGGCAAGACCAGCGGTTTGCGACAACGCATCGACTTACAGTGCTTTCACAAAGTCCACCATTTTGCTTAATTCAAACTTTGCTAAATGTATCTATACCATCAATGAACTTATTTTGTTACAGAAATTTAATGACGGTCTGAGTAATTGGGTTTCACTTTGACACCACAGGATCGCCGGGAGATCAGAGTTCTATTAACCTACATGATGATTTTGACTGGGAAACTGCAAACTTAAAACAGAACATCAGGCAACCGTGCGTTTTTGTAATGACGGCGCCTTCAAGCCAAAACCTTGAATATTAGATCAAAGGGGTAAAAGGAGAGAAACGAAAGGATCTCATTTTAAATTAAAATCAGGTGCAGGATGGACCCCAATAGCAGCTCAGGCTTTGAAAATACCACAAAAAAAAACCATGATAACCTTCCTCAGGAGGTGTTTGCTCTTTTTCCTCGAACCATTCACAGGGGAAATCATGTTCCCAACCTTGGTGCGACTCCCCCAGAAGTCTCCTATTAGCCCGGACACCTTTTCGGCGGTTCTGCAAAAACGTACAAGCTGTCTCTCACTACAATAACACACCAGTGACCTGACCCTTGGCTTAATCTCTGCATGCATAAAGAACAGGCTATTATAAACCCATTTTGCCATCTCTCCTCGCCATCTTCTTGACATATACTGATGAATACTTATGACTTTGTGTGCTCCTTGGGGATTCAGATGTCTCACTTTGACATGTGGCATCCACACCCATAAAGCAGCACGCCCCTCCCCCACCACAAACACACACATCACGATCCCCCCGCCCCCCTCCCCAACACCTGCCCATCTGGAAGGATGCTCTGGGGCCGCATTTTAATTCATCGTGTTTAAAGTATAGTGAAAATTGCCTTCTCCATCCACATGGCACTACAGAGCAAACTGCATTCACGTGTTCTAAGAGGGTGATACTACTGGTGAGAAGGGAGGCGCATTTTCCTTTTGCAGTGTTTACGGTGGACAGTTCAGTGGACATTGCAATGTGTACGTATTGGGTGGCAGATGCGCAAAAACCTGAAATGACTCAGCCTGGTTTTGGTGAAGCTGATCACAGGTCATGCACAGAAAACACAGTCTCAATTTAAAGTACAGGGATCACAGCAACTGGAATAATTAATATGACCAGAAAAGCTTATAGTCGCAGATGGTAACTAGGAAGCAGTAAAGAGTGCTCCCTTGTCTTGTTTGCTAAAAAGCAAACCTTGAATCTGTCCTTTAAGTTTATTCCTGCTGGATGTGCAACGTCTGGCCATCCGTACCACTGGGTGGATGCAGATGCGCATGACAGCGATCGCCTAATAGGTTATTCATGAACTGTATACCTATATGAAGCTTTTAATAATACAAGTAATATTACTTTACATTCTATAATTGGTCAATAAGAACAGCAAGGTCATTGGCAAAACGTACAATAATGTACTTTGAAATGCTTTGATTTCTCCCCCCCCCCCCCAAACAGCAATATGTGATCTTATCTGGTCTGGAAGCAGAAAGACATCACAGGAGAAGCTGCATTTGCAAGCTCGCAGCCGAGAACCCATGTGCCCTAAATCCATGGAATTCCAGCACAAGTCCAAAACTGTGCTTTAAAGAGGGACCGCGTTGTATGCGCCATGGAAGTGAATGTTCAGGACAATAGGTCATTATTAAAGGAAAGAAAATGGCGTTGGGTTAATAACGCGGGACATTTACATTGTGGGGGGGGACCTTTGTTCACCAAGAGTTACCGTTACGGTAGCTGCCGAGGTGGGGGCTCAGATTTTCTCCCCACGTTCATAGTAAAAAAATCCAGAACACACATGTTCTCTGCACTCATTACCCCCCATTGAATCTGCCAAGTCACAACCCACCATGGGACTACAGGATATTGCTCTGCCCTCTAATTGAAGGCGAAGCATGTTAGAAGCGGGGTGGCGCTGTCTCTGGAGACCCCCCCCCCCCCCCCGCCCCGTTTCCTCGAGCAGACCGCAGCCCTGCTGCTCAATTACCACAACTGAATTACTTTCGCTGCCCCAGTGACGGGCTGCAGGAAATACACCGGCATAGCGCCTCGGTTTCTGTGCTGTGGGGATGAATAAATGAAGACAGGAGTCAGGACAATCCTGCACGGAGCAAGGCAAAAAAGAAAAACTGTGCCTTAGGGGAGGAGAAATGTTTACAGTGTCCAAACGCTGAAGCAAAAATAGATTTGCAGGATAAATGTTCGAGAAAAGGCCACAGCAGTCTTAAGAGGGAGAAATTATTACTCTGGTTTTCCAGGCAGTTACTAAACGCCTTGTTGGATAGTCTTTCATATGTACTATTTTAACCAGACACAATACCCTAATGCTATTTCAGCTCCGCGCAGACAGGAACTGTTCTTTCAGGACCACAGGGGAACTGCTGAGTGCACACAGGGGAAGGTGCTGTGGAAATGGAATAATACGACACAATCTTGACAGCCTCCCAGGTGGCACAGAAATAAATACATAAATCGCATTTCTTCACCCTTGATGATTTTAAGGGTTAGAAATGTATCAATTTTAGTCACCGCTACAGCTTCTACCATAACCTTGAGTCGTATAACCAAAGCTATGAGGTGATTAGGGGTGTTACCCCAGTGTCCTGGCCCAATTACCAATCATGGCCTCCTAATAATCTCCATCTCTGGACTGGCTTCATCACTCTGCTCTCCTCCCCACTGAGAGCTGGTGTGTGGGGAGCGTTCTGGCGCATCATCCAGGTGGGGCTGCACACTGGTGGTGATAGAGGGGATCCCCATTCCACTCAAACCTCAAAGGGTGAGGAGGGGTATATACAGTACCCTGTTCTATTCCTAAGGCCTCATCGTTAACATGTGCCCCAAGACAGAGTCAGGCCAGCAGGGCTCCTTCTCACCCCTCACACATACTGTGCTGAGAATGGCCATGCTGATGAGGAGCCTGTGTCACATGGCCAGCCTGCTGGAGCCCTTTCGATAAGCCCAGTAAATAAGGCCAATCTGTGCTGGTTCCCGGATGGGAGTCTGAAGCAGGCTCTGCTGTGCATATCGATAGCCTGGAGCACTCGTCTGAGCCGCCCGCCCTTGATGTCTGAAACGAGCTGGCAGATCTGGGCTGTAACAGTCTGCAGCCTAAGCAGGACTGAGAGCCAGGCCCCTCTGTGCAGACTTGAGAATGGGTTTCGAATACGGTTAAGAAAGAAGCTATTTTTCCAAACCATTTCTTTTTTCACCAAGTCATCTACAACAGTTCTTCTTCTAAGCCCTGAAGACGCCTCACTTGTGTCTGGCTATGTTCATTGCAGCTACAATCTACATGAGCTTCCGCAAAACCGCGTCGATTCCAGCACTCCAGTGAGCCAGCCTTGGACAGCGTGGCAGCTCAATTTCAAAAGCTTTCACCTCCAGCAGTTCTTGTTCTCTTTGACAAAGAGTGGTAAGTGCTTTTTTTTCCCCCCCGTCTGGAGTGGGGTCTGCTGTCGTCATCTGTTGCTACGACAACCTGTTAAAAATGAGGTTAAGGCGAGAGTCACCCCACCACCTACACACCTCTCTCGTCTCTTCTCCTCCCAGTTTTCTGGAATAATCCAGTTCCAGAGGTGCATGCAACCTACATGGGAAAACCTTGTCAGGTTCCTTCTGTAGGTCCATACTTGAACCTCAAAGCTCAGTAGGACAGAGTTATCAGCAGCAGGTGGTTCTGCTCTCAGAAATGCTGGGTGAACTGATGAAATTGGGTACCACACTTTGCTGTGCCCTGTTATACAGCTCTGTGGACTGAAGAAATTGGGGTAACATGCGTTGCTCAGGAGTAGCCATGTCTGCAGTGGGGACTCACCACTCCACACCGCCCATGTATTGAGATGAGAATGCACATTTTTCTGATTAATGAATAAAGGGAACAAATGGGAAGTGCATTTCGGAATAAATCACAGAACAGGAGATACTTCTTTACATCAAGGGTGGTGGGAGTCTGGAACAAGCTGCCTAAATACTTCAAGAAACAACTAGATGGGATCCTCATATCAATAAGGCACTAACTACACGATGGGCTAAATGGACAAAATAGTCCCCTCTTGTATATAATCTGTCTTTTATTATGGGCTCCTATGAACCTCTTTGAAGAATGAAACTCCCCTGGTAAATTTGGTGTGAGTCAGGACTGCAAACACTTATTTTTTAACCAGCAGCTACCTTATAAAGTGGCTTGGATCAGTGTGGATCCACAGTCCCACAGGCAGGTGTTCTAGTCCTGTCATAACACCTGTTTTGTTAAAGACCAGGGAAGACAGCCCACTGGTGAAAGGACTGAATCCCCAGGCTGGGATCTGTCACTGGCCTAACTGATCAGTGAGTGACAATAATGTTGTGGAGCATTACTAACAATTCCTGACTGTCTGCTCTTCAAGAGCCACAGCCACTGGTGTCAGTCTAACATCTAATGACCTGATCAATAAGGCTGTGGGTGATTTTCTACACTTCTTTGACACTTAAGGAGTTAAGGATAACTAGGAAACCTGCAAGCCTATGGATTGTATGAAACTGGCCTTGGTTATCATTGGACCAGATTATATAGCTGTTTGTGTACATACTGCAAGACAGCTCTTGTTGATGCAGTTGTAGATCAGCAGCACAATGTTTGTATTTTACTTGGTTTATTTGTATCTATTTTCATTGGCTTGTTTCGGCGTAGAAATGACAACTCAATTCCAGGAGCCGAGTATGTTTCTCATTTCCCCTTCAACTTAGTTCTTGAATGCTTAATTGATCTCACACTTATTTTCCCGTTCCCTTATTCAGCAGAACTGAACACCAGCTCAGGAGCACGTATGACGCCTCCTCTCGGAGACCGGAGTTATCTATCTCTGATCTCAGGCGATATCTCTTTATATTCTGCACGTTATGTGCCTTGTCTCGAATTAATATATATCCGCTGTCATATGGCCTAATTACGTTCCCAATGGACAACGCCTCTACTACTCTGTGCGGGGAAGAGACACAAATCACTTTCTAACGTCTGTGTACGCATGATGCAAGTATTTTCATCCTCAAACAATACTGACATAAGGCCACTGTATATAATTACAAGCGATCTTAGTAGGGCCCAAATGTGGTCACTTTACAAGCTCATGGAATACAAAGGCCTATTAACAGATACAGTACGTGATCAGCACAGCGATGGTTTCTGTCCTTATTATGAATACGTGGGCACTGTAGAGAGTCTCTTAACCCGCAAGCACTAAAGGTAATTATCTATAGGCCGAGGCCGTTGCACATCGACATAGAAAGGTGGGGGTTAATATATAATAAACTCCGTTCCCTGTACACTGTATCTAGCCTAGCTGGAGAAGCGACGTCCATTAGACACAAGTCCCTTGTATGGGGAATGGCTTTAAGCAGGAGACGATATATGAAAGGGAACTGCAATGCTATTTTTTTTTTTGCATTTTGGGTTATAATGAATCGGCAATGATGAGTGCATTTCAAACCCAACTACCAAGTGCATGTGTAGTGCACAGCCTCCAATTTACACCACAAATAAGAGAGAGAAGGCTTCAATGTGTGCGTAGCAGCTTTTCCCGCCATCTTCTGGGATGCAGAAAGAGGGAATAAGACTTTCGGTGACGCCATTGTACACGGCAAACATGCTTTCGACTAAACCAAATTTGCTACTATAATAATAGTAAATACTTTCATGAAACCGACGTATACAATCGGCATGATTTTTATAAGTATTGTAAGAAAAAAGAGCAACTTGGCAACAGACATAAACCTATTGAACACCCATACACCTTGAACTGGTGTTTTTTTATGGTAAATCACACCCAAAAGACAAATTCTAGCAGGACATGTATATACTTTAGATGTCTTGCTTTACCAAACCGGTGTTCTCGCCTGTGCAGTTGATTTGAATGAGCAAAAACTGAACTGAATTCAACACATCGACTCCCGGACGGTTTGGCCGAAAAAGATACTACTTACCTGTTTATCCATGTCTTCGCTGGTTGAATATCCCTTTGAAAATGGAAACGGTTTGACTTTCTGATTATCCTCGGTTTCGTGTGCAACGTATATACTTAAATTATAACATACATTCAAAAAGACCAAAAAAAAGGATTAACGTTATTAAGGAGCCATGTTGCTTTTTTTGCGTACAGCGACCGGGCAGTTAGGAAGGGCCATTTCGCGCGGTTTCTGGTCTGCTGCGACAATATGGCGGCCGGACACTTTCAGAAAGTTCTCGACTTTTTCACTTAATCCGTAATGTGTTTCGAAATTTTGTGGTGCTGTCAATTAGTTTAATCTGTCACCGAAGTTTAATAACCCTGTCTGAAAAAATAGAACTGAAGATCCCCTTGTTAAAAACTGAAGGGTGTTTTTCACAGTGATTTTTAACAATTTCAGACGCTTAAAATCCACCTGAAGGGGGGATGTTTTGACCATTATTACGAAAGTTCCCACATCACACACCTATCTTTCAACCAGGAAAATGACTAATCGTGTCGCCTGCTATAAGCGATTAGGGAAAACATAGCTGTAGCTTCCTGTGAGAAAGTTAACTGATTTATCACCCCGGCGCTGTAATAGGAACCGATCCGGACACCCGATAGGATGTGTACTATGAGATATTAAACATGCTAGCAATGACTCCTTTTAAACTTGACGTACAGTAGGCTTCTTATCACTGGATATTCACTGTTAGGTGTGGAAAAACATGAGAAAACCCTCAAAGAAAAACTGCGTGTTTAACTGCTAATGTGGTAAAACGTTAATTATGGTTAAAACTTTCAATATTAACATTACCATTCTTAATAATCAGACGGCCTGTACCCGTGTTGAAATTATTTGCTTGCTTTTGGGGGGGATTTATAGCCGTGTTCCTGTTAATCTCATCTCAAACGGCGTGTTGTGGTCCTTTATTCTCGCAGATTCAGTTGTAAATAATCTAGACAGGTCCCAGGAGCTGCAGATACTAGTTTAAGCGACATTATCGAGTGAGTTGCTTTTAGCGCCCCTTGCGCCCGAATAGTAAATGAAGGTAAAGAGGAAATCGATTCCTTACAGCCGTGCAAAAGAATCTGAAAGGCAATACGTGAATTGTTATTGTATTAACAACGGACATCAAAGCACCTCAGCTTTTATCCCGGATCCAATTAAAGAGGATGAAAACCACAGTTCTGAAGGTGAAAAATTTGAACATATATGTATTACGCTTTGACAGCTGTACAGTTACACAGTACCACTGAACTCGTTGCTTTACTAATAAGTATTTTGTTAAAATGGTATTTACGGCATTGCAATGGAACTACGTTCTTGGTCAAACTCCAGCTAGAAGGACTCCAGCAAGTTAAAATCCAAACGACAAACGGAATTTCAACACATTTTATATTGCAAATCGATTACCATTTGCGTATGCGATCAGGGTCCCCGCTTTTATTTAATATTGAGTTTTCTTCTTTGGTTTAATAGTAAAACTGCATCTTCAAGGAGAAACTCTTCAATGGGAGACTCGTATGGGATCACATAGAAAACTAACTTACAGATTCTAATAAGTGGCATAAATAATCATGCTCATTAACTTATTAAAGATTGCAAGATGGTTATTTCCATCGTTTAGCTCGCTTGTAATCCCCAGCATCCCGTTGGCCATATCTGTTCGGAAGAAAAGCGGAGACGGATTTCACCCTAGCAAATACACCATTTGGTGTCGTCTTACGGCATTATGAAGATATTGTATGCGGCAGTATATTCAACTCCTCCTTAACCGAATAGTTTGTAACGATTCACACATCCAATTTCTTCATCCTTGATAAGGGGAAGCGAAATTCCACAGCACTTTCAAGTTTTTGTAACGACTAACATAGTTCAAAGAAATCTTATACAAACCGTAACTGGGCTTTACATTTAGATCATTCACAGAATCGAGGCAGTGCCTTTTGGGTTCATGTGGGACTCTTTGATGGAGATACGCCTACGTGTCGGCGAAACAGACACCTGGCTTGTTCAGGAAACTGCTGGATAAGACCCTAGAGTCAATCGGATACTATAAACCAAATTAGTTACAATTAGTTCAGGTGGGTACCTGAACTAATTGTAACTAATTACCATTAGTTACCGCTTACACCTGAAGAAGGCTCCACGGCCGAAACGTTGTGTTCTCTTTCTTCTTTTTTTTCAGCATGGAATAAACCTATTGTTCCTTAGTTACAATTAGTCCTGTCTGGTGTTTCTTAAAATTTTCGAGCTGAAGATGCAGGTCCTCAGAGTGCCATAAGATGGCGCTGTTGCACCTATTAAAAATGAAATACTGTATTGTAAATGAAACCCAGATTCCGGTGTGACCACAACGCCACCACACCTGCAGAAATAAAAGTAACGAAAAAAAATGTTTTTTTTCCATTTTAACACATCCCTATTTATTAATAATGACTGTAAATTATGCATGATGACATGTAATGGCTTAATAATTCATGATGAAACATGATCGTTTAGAATCGAACACAGGAATATTTTGTTTTTGCGGTCGCAAAAAAACAGAGGAGGGGAAGCTAAAAAAAAAACCCAAACACGTATTTTTCAAATCAAAAGATGAGAATTCAGTGGTCACATCCCATTACTTGATCAGATTACTTTAACAGAGACCCGAAAAGAGTTCTCACCTTTGCAACAGAAACACATATTTAAAAACCAAGACTGCAGATGGGTGTAGCACCTCACCAAGAAAAAAAAACAACGGATTTCTTTTTAAATACAATATCAGATGCCCATGAAAAAAAAAACAGCTGTATAGTATGCGAACAAGAAATGTAGCCTTTTTTCTAATCTATTACACCATGGTAGCCCTACTCTGAAACGTCCTCGTTTTTGTCTTTGAAAGTGCTGTAAAACCAAGTGGGCTTTGGCACCCACAAACTTCACCCCAGCTGGCACTCAAGGAAATCAGCTCCTCATCCACAGAGGTGTGTACCCCCACCCTCCTGTTTCCTGCACGTACAAAACACATTTACAGTAAGAGGGCTTATTTTTATATACGTTATCTGCTGAAGGCTTCAGTTTCCCCGTGACATAATTACTGCTTTAGTAACTGTTCTAAAACACCAGTATAATCATCAGCATGAACGTGTCACCTCTGTGAGACGGTGGAGGGAGATTAATACTACAGAGCGGCTAACCAGGAACAGAGAGATCTGTAAACGACTCTGGGGCAAAGTCTGTATTTCCCCCCACGTGTGAAGAAATGAGGCCATGTCTTTTCCTGCAGAATTCCAGCATGGGCTCCAGTTCAGTTTCAGGTTGCCATGCTGTCTCCAGTGGGCACAGTGGAACGCTGGCGCCAGCCCTCCAGCAAATGACCCAGTTCGTCCACAGCCGAGATCCAACAACCAGACCTGCCAGTCCTTCCAGTCCCCGGACGTCAGCCTAGCTCGTGGTGGAGAATGACGAGAGCTACGTTTGCGACGGCTTGGCGGGAGTTTAATTTCCACCCGAGTTTTTTGTTTTGTCTTGCTCGTCGCCCCCTTTAGGCTTCGCGCACATTAAGAGGCCGGAGAAGGACCGCTGGGGTGTGAGAGAAGAAAAGGCGTAGCATCACATTGGCTTCAACTAGTTTAATACAAAACGGCAGGTGGGAATTAAAAAGTCATACAAGAAAAATGCACTCCAGCCACGCCCACAGCTCCGGAGTAACTGCGAAACCTGGACAGCGACAAGGAGGGGGCAGGACAGGTTCCTGTCCCAGTGCCCAGACACCGATTTTGGGAGGCAATCAATCGATGGAGATGATGACAGAAGTGTGGGAGTGATGACAACAGCCAAGTTCACTCAAGCTGTCAGTAATTGGCAATCACTCCTGATGTCACTTCCTGTCCTAAAACACTATACTGTACGTGATCCCCTTCTCTCGCTCACATGTCTTTTTGCGTCCCTCCTCCACCCCCCCTCCAGCTGCCCCCAGGTCACTCCTCACTCTGCAGGGGGGGTCCCAACCTCCTCGTCCTCTGGCTAGGAGATCGGCCCTCAGCCAAGAGGTTGAACTCACATTTTCACTGAACAGCCCATAATCCCTTCAGCACACTGAATCCTCGGGTGTTGTTATCCCTAGTGAATGAAGTTTTAACTGTGGTCCCTAATAACTATTACTGTAGCAAGCGTGTGGTCAAATGCAGACGTACCAGCCAGCAGAGGTGTAGTACACTACAGCTTAGTCAGTGGTCCCCAAGATTTGCGGCCCTTATAGGAGCCTTCGGTTAGGGCTAATGGTGGCTGCTGCACACTGGTGGTGGTGGAGGGGAGTCCCCATTACCTGTAAAGCTCTTTGAGTGGAGTGTCCAGAAAAGCGCTGTATAAGTAATGCTTAATTAATTATGATTTATGATTAAATTATTAATGAATTAGCTAGTTCATCCAAGCTAATCCAACCCCTAAAAGGGTCAATTGAGTAAGTGAGAGCCTGGCTGGTGTGAAAAACTGGAGATCGGGGCTGTGGACCCCCCAACGCAGGCCCAACACTGGTGTGGCTACAGTGATCAGCTGGTCAGCTGTGGGGACAGAGGCATGATGTCATTATGTGTGGAGTCAGACACACAGAGGAGCTCAACGTCTCACTCAGTGCTTCAGCAATACATTTACTAAACAGAAAGGAAATGCATGATGAAAGCTGAAGGGACTCCTCTGTCTCCCCCCTCTTGCTTGATGTAGAGCAACATGTAGAGAAAGTGGCAGTGTGGGTCTGATGGAGACTGACTGCCACACAAACACACACACAGCAGACAGCTGCGTCAGACTGCAGCCATTCAGTGAATCCAGTGGTTAACGGAGCATCTCAAGAGGAGGCTTCACAGCCAATTGGGCAGCAGTCACTTTAATTTAAAAGCAGAAAGTAAACCACACAGGTCAAGTGTCAAGTCAGAGTCCAGGCCCCTGGTAGCCTAGGAGAAAATATATTTAAAAAAAACGAAATCAAATGAAACAGTGGTTTGTTACAGCGTACACATGTCCATTAAAGATGACTGTTTGTCCCTTTGTGGAACGATCTGCGTGTTTTCCCACACTGTAACAGCAAGGGTCACCGCGGATCAGACTGATGAGGAAGTTCTCACACAGCCAGAGGAACTCTTCCAATGGCATGGCGGAGACGGGCCGAGGCCAGGGCAATTTCCGGTGGTTTTAAATTAAAACGTTGCGAACCACAGGGAAAATCCCATGCAAAACTGACTAAAACCACCCATTCTAGGACAATCACTAAGGGCAGCAATTGCTCCTCAACTCTTCCATCTGCAGAACATGGCTGTCTACTACGGGACCTGTTGTGGACCTTGTGCACCACTGATAGGAGAAGAAAGCCAATTCAAAATCAAATTCACAATAAACCCCTAAATGAATTTCACTGGGACAGAACAGATGCTGTGAATCTATATTGCATCATTAGCTGTGAGTTACGCAACATGAGCAAAATTTGAGCAATACTTTACATATCTGGAACATGATGTTCCATACGTCTATGACGTGGGCTGTTCAAAATAATAATAATTATAATGGTGATCTCTGATTGCCAGCATCAAAACTTGTCAATTGTGATCTGCAAAGCGAAATAAAATGGAATGTGAATGGTTCTTATTTAACATCATTGACAGCTGCTACAGACATCTGCCTTAAAAATAGCTGGGTGCTAATTTGACACTTGTAAGGGAAATGCCTGCTTTTGATCTCACCCTGCAGTGACTGCACACTTGTCACTGAATGTCTAATTCTTACACAGTCCTGATATTCCATACATAGGGTGGCCATATGACTCAGTGTGGTCACTGGATACTGACACAGCGTGGGATTTTAAATCTGCCCTTAAATTAAAAGTCATTCATTTGTGAATTCCGGCAGGACACCTTTGCCGAGATGAAAATCCGTGCTCAGTGAACATGCAGCCCCGAACAGCTGTTCCCTATTCCTGCCAACAAGCGGACCATGTGAACAACTCAACAATGTTGCCGATTTGTTCAAAAGCCTCTTTTCGGGTTTGGTTTGCACCGAACAGCTCATCGGTAATACATGTCCATTGCACGCAGGCATTAAGCCCCGATTTTCATCTCGGCAAAACTGCACAAATTTGCCGTGCTGAATAGGCAAAATCAAACATAAGGGGAGTGTTAAGACTGCGTCCTGTCTCAAAGCTCGCCGGTGAACAGCAAGCCACCTGACTTAGTAAAATAGGAAATAAAAGAGATCTTCACAAATGCTAAAAATGTCTTGGCAAGAGATGCATACACCTGTGCATATACAGAATCTAGCGATGGAGGGCCTGTTTCATGCATGCTGTCATATATTGCCACCTCGAAAATGTTGCAAAGACGGCCTCCGACCTTTTTCTAGCTGCTTTGTCCAATGCAGCGTTGCGGGGAAGTCGGAGTCCATCCTGGCAAAGAAAGGGTGCAGGGCAGGGCACACCGCGGGTGGGACACCAGTCATGCACAAACAAGCACACGTTCACACCGGGGCCGATAATCCCAGAATGCAATCAACCTACCAGTGTGTCTTTGGACTGTGGGAGGAAACCAGAGCACCTGGAAGAAACCCACGTAAATACACCCTCCACACAGCTAGCACCCCAGGTCTGGATTTGAACTCGGGACCCCAGTGCTGTGAGGCAGCAACCCTAACCCCTGCACTGCCCCCAAGAGTGCCCATTATTGGTTATTTTCCGTAGATACAAAATAATGACATGTGCCCAGTAGCACAGGAGAACCCAAGACTAAGACAAAATCCAAGGAACTATGTGTTACCTATATACCTACATCAATAAGCTTTGAAAACCAATAATATTGCATTGAATGTCAACATTAGGTGCCCACTTCCATGACAGGAATAATAATTTAAAGCAGTCCCAGGCTACAGTGTTACACAGCAGCCCATGCTGGTGAAGCCAACACTGTGTGCGAACACGCCCGGGATCAATTAGGTTGCCAGCACCCAAACAAACAACGTAGGCTGAACAGCCTCCTCTTGTAACCATTCTCATATTCCAGACTGCGAAGACGGATGTACCACATGGCCATCGGACATTTCAGGCCTTACAGAACCAAACCCAGTCGCTGTGGGAGACTCTGCACCACCTAAGTAGGTTTCCAGGCGGGTGAAATCACTTCTCATCCAGGCCTACTGCCCCCGCGCCCTGTCACCTCCAATCTTTCGCAGTTGAGAAACAACCGAAAGGGCTTTGATCAATGGGATTATTAGTTAGGTCATGTAAAGCTCAGCTGAGCAGAGCAGCAAACCAGCAGACACAGGGGCTTAAGGGGACCAGACTCGTTTTTCAGCAGTCTGGAGCGACTGACAAAACAGGCTCTCCCAGCGGCTCGGAAGGAGAGGAGCGGCTAGCCGGCCCTGGGTACGAGGAACGTGACCCTAATTCCAGAGCGGCAGGGCAAGGGGTCTGACAGGAATCCCCCCACCCTTCCTGCCTCCATGTAACAGAATCCACCATGATGTTCTGTCTGCCCACTAAAAAACAGGACTCACAACATTAAATAAAAACCACCAGATGATTTCAAAGGCGCTGGAAAGTTAACTATAATACAGACAAAACAACACTGAAAAGAAAGGCAGCTGCTTGCTTCTGTTTTAAGGAGACTGGGGACCTGAATCAAGGTGCCTTTCAGAGGAGGTCTCCTATGGCCTTTGTCCAAGCAAGAGAAAGATACAACGCCACCCATCGGAAACCCTGACGTCCTTTGTCTTCCACTTTCGTTTAAAAAGCAGAAAAACACAAATTTCCCTCTGGTTTAGCTTCAGCGCTCTGGTTGGTCTGCTTACCGACGAGGTCAGCACGCGAGGAGAAACTCCAGAGCCAAGCACGTCTGCGATGAGAATCAAATCTGAACGCCTCCTCTCTGCCGACACGCCCCACACCCACCCAGGACAGGTGAAGGGGGTGAACGAGGGTGGCCATCGGAATTACAACCGTTCACAAACAAAACAAAACACCGACCACCTCCACAAGGAAACAATGGCTCTAACTTTTTTTACACCCTGTTTTCCATTTCCCCAGAGGCGCCTTACAACAGCCCATGAGCTTGCTCGTACGGGGAGGGCTGTCAAAAAACAAGTTCTTCATTCACTCACATCATGCACCCCCCCAGATCAGACAGGGTCTCACCCGATACGAAGGCCTTTTCACTCTCCTCCACACTGACCCTTCTGTCCCCAGTCGAACGTTCAAGCTTGTAGAATATTAAATACGTAAGGAATATATACAAACCAACCCCCTGCATACGAGATTTCGCGTCTGTACAACCTCAGAATAGACCTTGAGATGATGAATCTTACAACGGATTGGGCTGAACGGCCCCGTTTCTGTTCAACGAAACAACAGTCCCAAGAGTTTGTTGTGGTTGGCGTTGTTGGGTTTTTTTCTGTGTGTTAAAACTCCCCCAGATTTGCACGTCACATAAATAAACCCATTTTTTTTACGTTTTCTGTTCCCATCGACAGCCAGGGCTGCTTCAGCATTTTCAGTACAACAAGCAGGCAGTCCAGCAGCCTGTGTGTGATGTGGCAGTATTCCTAGCTAGTACATCGGGTCAAAGAGACACGGGCCGAGGAAGAGGGAGGAGCTTCTCCTGCCTTCGCAGGAAACAGTTTGGGAAGGAGACAGCCGGCAGATATCCAGGAGGAGAGACCAGCGCAGCAGGGCTGGGCTGAGACCCTTCACACTCGGGACAAACCTGGATCCTGTGACACTTTAAAAGGACGAAGGACTTCCGGTACTTTCTTTTCACTCCCTGTTTCCTAGCCCCTCTCTGTATTGCTTTCCAAATGACTGGTCTTCTCTTTCCTTCTCTTCCTTCCTTTTTTTCCCCAGGAACTGCGGTTAAAATATTGGTCCGGGACTGAGAGGGGGCAGGGAGGCAGGGAGGGGCAGGGGGTAGGGCAGGGAGGAGGGGCAGGTGTTCAGAATGGGGGGTTAGGGGTTAAAGCTCTCTCCCTCTTCCCATTTTGGCTCTACGAAGGCTCGGAGCTCTTCAGCGCCTGCACCCTGCTCTCCAGGTCGGTGATCTGTGGAGAGAAGGCGTTGCTGTGAGCAGACAGGGCACAACTGAGGACCGAGTCACAGTTCTGAGAGACTGGTTTCTCCGACATCCCCATGCAACGCCAGCTGAGGCCACCTGCTTGACCTGAGGAAGGTATTACAATGAGATTAGGTCAGTCAGCACCTTATTTCTGGATCCAGGAGGCCAGCTGGTTTTCAAAAGATTTCTGGATTTCTGCCTCCACATTTATTCTGCAGTACAGCTGTATTGTCTATTGTTGCTTTCTGCTAACTCCTTGCTCAGGATCTGTGTCCAATCTGGGCTGTACAAAACCTATTTCTCTGAGTCCCACACTTCCTCTCAGGACTACAGGACACTAGAGGACAGAAGCATGGATGTGCTGGATTTGGCGCTTTGCTAACATTTCAAAACATCCCAAAAATGTAAATAACTTGGCAGACGACAGATCTGCTGCTGGCTGGTGGGGGCAGAAGAGGTAACCTGTGCTTCTACAGCAGGGTTTGTGTCGAGGATGAAATGGTTAAGCCCCTTATCCGCTCTGTTTAGGGTCTGGTTTCATTATCCGCTTTCAAGGCAAGAGAAAAATCAAATGAATCTGCCTACAGTTCCTCTAACATGGGCAGCCCGCAAAGAATTTCAAGAGGGATTTTGTAAAATACTACTAGTTTTGTAAAATAGCAACACAGGACTGACTCATGCCCGCCAAGGGCAGACTGTGGGAGTCGAGCTATTAAACATCAGGAGCTGAGGGTGCCGATTGCTCCTCCTGCAACACTTCAGGAAACATAGATAAATAAAACCCCTCCGTCATTAGCACTTGTGTCTTCAGTACCGCCCTTCACTCCAAATGGCACCAGGCTGAGAAATGAGCCTGCCGTATCCTAATGGACACATTGCAGGGATGAGCTTTGAACTGGCGAGATAAGAACGGATTTATACCAGAGCACCGGGGCCATTAAGTCTCCAGATGAACTAATATAGGACTGTCAATTCAATAACAAGTTAATAATTTGGAAAAAGTGCTTGGCTCAAGAACTCGATCAGTCTGCAAAGAGCCTGGGACGTTACTGGACCAGCCCGAAAGGTACTGCACTGAATCAGCCCTAGCAAACTGGTTTGTCAAAAAGTGTGTCCACTACACACAACTCCTAGAGCACAGGGTCAGGGTGATCCAAACTGGTGCTGTACCCAGGTGAAGGAGACGCTACTGAACGTCTGGTTTTCGTGCACAGCATTAAGAACGTGAGCAGTGGACGTGGAGACTCAAGTCACCCAGCTCACGTGGACATCATTTAATTATGCAAGGAGCAGTCAGGGGCTCTGCAGAGACTTGCAATACTAAAATATATGCGAATATTTGTCAAGCTCAGCAATAAAGACCTACACTGTAGGATATAGTACTCTGTCATAAGATCCAAGTGCTGCTTCAATTAGATTCAATAAGTATCCCAATGAAGACATTATCCTAATAAGTATCCCAATGAAGGCAGTATCCCAATGAAGACAGTATCCCAATGATACAAATGGGAGTTTTCTGTATTGAAAATACAGCTACAGAAATTCAGCCCTAAGATCCTACCCCCTCCCCCCCCCACCCAATCCAGGCACCCCCCCCGTGTGTTCACCTGCGGCTCCTGCACTACCTTGTCCTGCAGCCTGTCCGCCTCCTCCTTGTGAGAGGCCTCAGACTCCTCCAGGGCCCGGCGCTGAGCCGTCTCCTTCTTCAGGAACTCGATCTCCCTGGGAGGGGCGGGAGGGACAGGTCAGGGGGCGGGCACCACCGAGAGCTCCCCCCACACAGCGCTGAGCCCCCGGCTCTGGGGGAGCAATCCCAGCTGAGAAGCGCCTGGGACACGCGGCCGGGCTACCCTGTCCGATCTTTTGGAGGGAGGGGCTCCCTGACGTACAGTCCCCAACCTGGAGGAAAAAGCGGCACGCTGCCTCTCGTGCGCGAGCTTCTCTTCCCTGTGTGCTGTGTGGAATAATTCCCGCCGTGTGGAACAGGGCCCTGCCATCACTCTGCTAGAGCCCAGCTTCATTCTGAAGGTGAGGTACAGCACACTGCAATGATATTCCTTGCAATGAGTGCTATGCAATGAATAATTCCTCACACTCACAGGGCGCTATTCTGGACACGCCACTCAGAGCGCTGTACAGCTCATGGGGATCCCCCCCCACCACCACCTGGATGAGTGCACCAGTACACTCCCCAGTACAGCTCTCAGTGGGGAGGAGAGCAGAGTGATGAGGCCAGCTCAGGGATGGGGATTATTAGGAGGCCATGATGGGTTAAGGCCAGGGTGGTAAACCTGGCCAGGACACCAGGATAACACCCCTACTCTTTTCGAGAAACGCCCTGGGATTTTTAATGACCCCAGAGAGTCAGGACCTCGGCTATACGTCTCATTGAAGGATGGTGCTTTTTTACAGTCTAATGTCCCCGTCACTATACTGGGGCATTAGGACCCACAAGGTCCACAGGGTGAGCGCCCCCTGCTGGCCCCACTAACACCTCTTCCAGCAGCAACCTTAGTTTTTCCCAGGAGTCTCCCATCCAGGTACTGACCAGGCTCACACCTGCTGAGCTCCAGTGGGGCTGCCAGCTGGGAGCTGCAGGGCGATGTGGCTGCTGGTGATTATCACAGTACTGGCAATAATACTAACAGCTGCAAATGCAAGCCTCCCACATTAGAGTGAGTTAATACAATGATCATCGTAGTAATAATATAGTAATTCACATACAAAAACGTTCTGGAGCCTTTTTTGAGAAAATGGTGACTGGCGTTTCCAGCTGATGTAGGGTGTGCAGAACGTAACCTTTCCATAATGGGGGTGCAGCTGTACCCCCCTCTTGCCGCCCCTCCCCCGCGGGAACGGTGCTCACTTCTGCTGGTACTCCTTGATGAGGCGCTTGGCCTTGCTGTACTTGCGCTCCAGGGTTTGATACTGGGCCTGGGTCTCCTTGAGGTGCTCGTCCACGGCCTGGCACAGGCTCTGCGCCTCCATCCAGTAGCCCTCCAGCTTCTCCATGCGCTCCTTGTTCTCCTGCACGCTCTGCTCCAGCTGGGCCTTCTCCATCCGCCAGCGCAGCTTCTCCTGCTCCGCCTGCGCCAGCTGTGGAGACACCGTCCTGCCCGTTACTTTCCATCAAAGACACCGGACTGCGGGCGCACACTTGCGCCCTCTTGTGGCCGTCAGCATAACTGCAGCGGCCACCTCACAGCATTGATCCAATGCTGCATCCCTGTCGAGTCCACAGCGGACCCTAATTCTTCGCAAATGCTGCTTATTTTGACTTAGAATGGTTTAATTCTAAACATGACGTTCCCAGGGGGATATATTAAAACATCTACCTTTACATTTCATTTGTTTCATACCAGTACTGAAAAATAGAAGTTATTATTATTGGCCACATTTTAGGCTTTGACAGACCTGTGTTCAAACTTTGAGCTGTTTGTGCAAAGCCAGCCGTTTTTATTTCCCTTGTCGAAGGCTCCTGTCTCTGCCTTCTTTAGTTTTCTTGCCACTGGCTCCTGTGATATTACCCAGGCCTGAACACAGCTAGACGAAATAATGACAGACACCACTAAGACGTTGCAAAAGCTGGGGCAGCTCCTGGCATGACACCAGCTGGGAAAATACATCCTGTGTTATTACCTCACATCCTGTGTTATTACCTCACATCCTGTGAAGATCATCTTACCTTTCTCTTCAGCTGCTGAATTTCAGCCTCTGTGACAGCGTGCTTTATCTGGAGCTGTGAAACAAAACCACTTGAGGTTAAATCATTGCAATGGCTCAGTTATTTATCTTCACATAGATGGTCATTAAGAACAGTTCCTTGTTATATAGCACTTTGACAGCCTATGTTCACATGTGGTTGCAACCCTACTTCATCCAGCACTGTAGAGCCATCCCAACTAGGGGACAAGCAACAGTCTGCGCCAGTAGCTGAATTACGGGAGAACTTTAGGAAGACTAGCTTGTGGACGTAGAGAGTGGAATTCAGCAAAGACACTGGGGTTATGCCCCTAAAACACAATTTTAATAGCAATAATAATTAACTGATTAAGAGGCTGAGGCACAGAGCTGTTACCTGGAGTCTCCACAGACCCACTGTGTTGCTGATCAATGTCCCCGTGCTCTGTCCATCAGATGAGAATGTAACACTGTCCTCCTGTCGTAGGCGACAGTGCTGCAGATGCTGTTAATGCGCATTCTGCTTTCTAGTCCCTGTGAGTCACTGTGGATAAGTGCACCTGCTACATGACTAATTTAAGACAACAGTGGAAGTAGTAAAAAAAAAAATCTGTTGCTGCATAAATTCGTGGACTTATGGACCAAAGCCAAACAGCCTCTGGTGTGACTTGTTCGGGCTAAGCTGACTGTCGGGTTTTAAATACGGACACTGGGAGAGGAGCGGTTTCAGGGCAGTACCGTAAATGGAGCTGTGCTGCCTGCCCCCATTAACCCAGCACTGGGTCCACAGGAGGAGACAATAATAGAAAACCATTCTCAAAGAACTGAACTGATCTTGATTAAACCACTGGTGTTTTTTCATTAAAATTCAAAAATGCATCACCTCTTGTCTGTTTTCTCTCTGCTTTGACGATGCATCACTGAAAAGCTGTCCTTAAACTCATGCACGTTTGCATGATGACGGCTGAGGCCACCCTTCGCTTGGTGTCAACCAATGTTTGTGGCTCGGAATGTTAGGAAAATAAAAGTGTCCTCCTGCAGGTGCTGCAGCATGCTTCAGTGTTTCCCCCGGGACTTTGCTCCTCCCTGACCCTCTACTCACCTCCTTGAACTTGTGGGCCAGCTTCTCTGGGTCCATCTCGATGGGCGACAGCATGTCCTCGTTCTCAGCCAGGTCGAAGACTTCGATGGCCATCTCTGCACTGGGGAACATGGGGCTCATCTCCTCCTCCTCGTCAGTGGCGTACTCCCCGGTCTGCCAGCGACAAACGCAGGGCACACAAGAGGCTCTCAGCAGGCTGTGGGCACACTACCACACTACCAACGCAAGACAGGTCTCTGTTGTTTGGCGTTTGTTGAAAAGTGCTCAGATAAGAATGCACCATTATTAATATCAGAGACTGTCTGATATTACTGCAAACATCAGCAATCTCCCATGTAAAGAATGGTGCTTTGCACAGAAGAGCATCTCTGAATCTATTATGTGGCAGTGACTCCTCATCTGTATACTCTTTATTCCATTTTATCATGAGATGCTATCTATGTGTAATGCAGAAGCCCAAAAACGTCTTAGTACACAGAACACACTGGTTGATTGTATTCAAAGGACAAAGGACACAGCTTCCTCATTCTTAACACTGGGCAGTGTATTCCCTGCACATCACTTGTGCAGCAAAAGAGCATCACACTGCTATCAACCTATACTGCCTGTAGGTGGAGGTGTGCAATTGCACCGGCTGAATACTCATTAGGCGATCAAAGATGGTGTTTAAGATCGAACGCTATGGAATGTCAGCACGTGAGCTTTCATGCGTGCTGATGCGTTGCACTGTGCGTCACCTCACTCAGCTTGAGGCAATGTCAATGGACAGCCAGCAGATGGAGACAGACAGCTTGAAAATAAAGAACTAACTGTATGACCAGTATCTGCAGTTCAGACATTTGACAGGGCACAGAGCTCTGGCCTGAAAGCAGCGTTTTTCCTGACCTGCTCTTATTTAGGACCAACACTAGTAGCAAATTGTTCACCGTTATTAGGTAAGCTAAGCCTTCACTAACTCATTGTTGGATCAAAAGGCCTTAACAGCAACTCAATGGAAAGCATCTTACTATCTTTGCTGAAGAGAGACAACATTTCAGCGGTGGAGCCTTCTTCGGGGGTCACCACAGCTGAAATGCTGTTTGTTTTCTTCTCTTTTCAGCATGGAATCAACCGTTACTAGTTCCTTTACAGCCTACGCATGCTGACGCAGCTCCCTACTTGAACTATCTTTTGCTCTTTGAGGGCGTCCATTATCCCGCTTAATGATTCAGACGGAAATACCCCGCGGGGAGGTCATTACCCAAACAAACAGATCGCCTGGCTGTGCCATCCCACCACGGCACCTACCAAACGCCGAACGTGCAAAAGCAACAGCTACGAGCCGAGATGAAAGAATGATTTGCGAAAGACAGCAAACGTGCATATGGAGGAAAAGCCCAAGGCGTCCTCAGTGGCTTGAGCTCAGGTCTTGCAGAGCCGCCCCATCAGTGGAGCCAGGGCTGAGATGAGCCGCAGGCCGGATCCCCACTCACTGGGGAGCAGGAGCCATTCCAGCAGATACCTGCCTTTCCAACCTTTCAGCCGAACCCGCCTCCGTCAAGAACACTCAGATCCGATCAGTCACAAAGACAAAGTCACCATTGTAGTACAAATAAAGGCAGATAACCTCCCACTCCTAGCAGAGCCTGGGGACTTGTCCACCTAAGATTATTTTCTTAACGTTAGTATTAAAGAATATTGAAAGGTGCTTTCAGTTACTCGAGATCTGACTGTGTTCACTGCCCAGCAGGTGTACTTTTGTTATTACTAACCAAGGCCGTGTCTGTCTGGGGCTCTTTTAGGTAGGTAGGTCCCTTTTCAGGCCATAAAGGCCCCTGGGGGGAATGGGGAGCAAGGGCCACCGTTTTTCTTGACCATCCGACACTGGAGGTGGAGGTGATGTGGTCAGCACCACGGTCCGGCCGGCCTATTAACCCCAGATGGATTAACCCCCCCGGTACTGACTTGGAAAGCAGACTGAGTGGACCTGGGAGCCATCCGGAAGGAATCAGAGCAAACTACATCGCTGGCCCCTACCTGGGATTGAACCCGGGACCTTCCAGTCAGGAGCTAGACGCCCCGGCCGTCTGAGCTGCCACGGCTCCTTGGGGCTCTTTCAACAAAGCAGAAAACTGCCAGGCCAGGCTGCTTCGCCGCTGGGCGGCCACTAGGTGGAGCACTTCAACCACGCAAGCAAACAAAACCTGCTGCGCAAGGCAGACACAAATCAAACCTCTCAAAACACTGCCGGGCTCCCACCACACTACCACCATTTTGTATTGAAACAAAGCAAAAACCAAACATTTAGGGGGAAATCTGAAGTCAGCGTACAGTTTGCAGGTAGGTGCTCTTCTGACAGAACCCACAGCAGGACTGCTTACAGCAGGCCCATCAGAGTCAATAGAGACTGCTCCTCCCCACGCTTTACATAATAATCATTATAATAATAATAATAATAATAATAATAATAATAATCATGGCCTCAACAGGGTTTTTAACTACTTCCAGGGAGACGATCATGTCCATTAAATCAGTTGAGGTGCAGCACTCCTGTCTGGGTCCCCCGGCCGTAAGCAAGGCCCTCCTGCGTCCCGTTCCGGAACGAGCCGCGTGAACACGCTGGCCCCAGACATGCCCCGGCACGCCCCGCAGAGCAGGTCTGGTGCCTGGCTCTGGCCGAGCCACTCCTGGCTTCCCCTCGTCCTCTCGGCAGAAACCGCAATCCCAGCAGCACGTGGGGTTTTATCTTGTCATCCTCATGCCCTCACGGAGGCCGCAGTACACCTTACGCCCCCCGAGTGCGATGCTCACTATTCATCATATGCATTTTTCCAAAAGATGTAAGAATTCATTATAGCCTTGTCCTAGATCTAACTCTAACTATTACCCCATTTAACCTAACACTTTCTGCCCTCTGCTGTGACAATACTGATTTACCTGGGTACAATGTCAGACATGGGGTGCTACAGTACATGTTCTCCCCATGTTCATGTGGGTTTCCTCTGGGTGCTCTGGTTTCCTCCCACAGTACAAAAACATACTGGTTAATTGGCTGTTGGGAAAATTGGCTCTGGTGTGTCTGTGTGTTCTTGCAATAGACTGGTGTCCCATCCAGGGTGTACCCTGCCGTGCCCCCACTGCTTGCTGGGATAGGCTTTGGCTGTGAATTGGATGAAGTGGTTGGAAAATGGACATGGATTTTGGAAAAAAAAACAGATTTATACTGGAGTCTCTTGAAATGAGTCAGAAGCAGTTCTGAGTATTGTTGTAGCCTAGCCTACTTCACAGAACCACCGCCTTCAAATAAATAAGGAGCCACTCATACAAAGCTGCTGCTCATTTTTTCAGGAGAGGAGGCAGAAGTCAGACATTTGCAAGACTCTATCGTCAAAAATTTTAAGATCTTTTTAAATGTTAAGGGGTGAATCCCCCCCCCAAAACAGATTGTCTTTAGTCTGCAAGCACCAGAGAGGCCACAGGGGTTTGTGAATCACAAGCTGTACTTCAAGTGGAGCCAAAACAGCCTTAAAAGCCTTAATGTTTCATCCTGCAGTTTTAAGGTAAATGATAGGATGGATCAAGATCTTTGAGGAAAACCAGGAATGGCTCTGTCCTGAACAGGCATCACTGCAACAGCCAGGTGAGAAAAACAAAAGCCCCAACAGACGCAGTGTTAGGTGCTGCAAAGCCCCACTCCAGAAGCACACACTGGAGAGTTTCTGGAAATGCATTCTGTAAAAGGCAACCCAGTGAACTCAGGCAAAAGACTGAACCATTAAATTCCTAGATTTCTACATGCTCTTAGACAAAAACTGCACAAGGTCAATTTAGATGGCACACAGACATGACCTATGGGTGTTGAGAATGCAAGAAAGCTTCTATTAAGGTAACCTCTAATTCTGTGGACCTTTCATTTCCTCAGCAATGGATGGCAAATGTCGGTCTAGGTGTGACCACTGATGGGGGCTTGATACAGCGGCTGCCGCTGGGGTTGCAGTTTACAGAAGCCAGCGAGAAAGCTCTCCTCTGACCTCTGACCTCTGACCTGCCAAATCAAGGGTCCACTGTTGTTGTTGTTGTGGTTGTGGTTGAGGCTGGGTGAGGTGCATGAAGGGAGTTCCAGATCAGATGGATACGAGAAGAGCTCTAGGTCCTGATTGTCAAGGCCAGGATTGGCCATCCCAACAGGGCAAAAGCAGAAGAGTTCAGACAATTAACTATTCACCTGGAGCTTAAAGGGCACTGCGGCAGGTATAAATCGCCATAAAGCCCAGGAAACCGAGCCAGTAACAATCCTGAGAGCTGGGGTCTCAACACTGCAGTGCAGGCAGAGGTAATGAAGGTGGTGACTGAGGTGCCACACAGTTGCTCGAGGACAGATAGTGAAGTACAGCACAAGGCTGTACTGAAAATGAGCAAGCATTCAGCCCACTGAGGGGGAGGGTGGAGACATACGAACAGAAGAGCTGGGAATGAGAAGGACTAACGAGAGTGAGGAGTACCCAGGCACAGGCCAGGCCGTTGTCAAAGGAGGGTCGTCTTTGACACGCTTGACTCTGGCCCGGCAGAGGGCAGCAAGAAATTCCGAACCGCCGAGCCGCAGCACAGCCAGAATCCGGATCTCCGAGCTTCGAGGGACCCCCGGCGATCTTACCTCGTCCTCGTCCTCCACGTACTGGGCGTAACGCTGCTCCATCATCTCCCTCTGCCAGCGCTCCTGCTCCAGTGTCTGCTGGATCAGCTGGGCCACCTCGCTCTGCTCCCCGGGCTTCTCCCGTCCAATCAGGAACCTGCAAGCACCCCGCACAGGCCAATCAGGGCACAGGGGTGCTGGCCGGCTCCAGCCAATAGCCTCGCGCCTCTAGCAGAAGCTGTTAGAGAACTCCTGTCCTCATTCCCCATCTGCCTGGTTTATAATGTCACTGGGATTATGACGAGCCTTTCTGGGGTCTAGAGGAAACCACCCTGCCCAGATACTAAACAAAACTGTAATATATGCAAAAATTGAAAGAAAGAAATGCACCGAAGTAAAGGTAACACTATTCGGAATGACATAACAACCTGTAATTGATATTATACACCTACAGTAGTCTCAATGCAGTAAGGTACAGCTGCCTTAATACAGCGACCACCAGAAGCTTCAATACCATAATACACAACAACTTCAATACAGTAACATACACCAGCCTCTCCCCAAGCTGTGATCTACAGCAGTCTCAATACATTGAGACACTACATCTCTACAACTGGTTCAATACCATAACACACATCAGCCTCAGTACTGTAACACACAACAACCTCAGTACTGTAACACACTGCAGCCTCAATACTGCAACACACTGCAGCCTCAATACTGCAACACACTGCAGCCTCAATACTGCAACACACAACACCCTCGATACTGCAACACACAACACCCTCGATACTGCAACACACAGCAGCCTCAGTACTGCAACACACAGCAGCCTCAGTACTGCAACACACAGCAGCCTCAGTACTGCAACACACAGCAGCCTCAATACTGCAACACACAGCAGGTAACTCTGGCAGTACTGTGTTTCAAAACATATTCAACACAGTTCAAGAGAAAAAAAAAACAACGATTTAAATGTCGGTTGCATTATTTACCAGTGCATTTGAAGTCAATGATTATGAAAAATGACATAAAAGAGCTTATGGGAATGTAGGTCAACCGAGCGGACGGGAAATCGCTCACGTGAGTCTTTTACCTTGAAAACAAAAGGACCTCTACCGTCCTCTACCAGGCCAGCCAGAGAACTGTGCAGGCTGCTCGTGCAGCTCCAAACATGGAAGAAGCAGTGAAAATGATGTATGGCATTGTCAGGGTCCTCAACCTGGGACAACTCCTCCCCCCAATCTCCCTGGCTATTTCAGCACCGTTCTCTCTTTTTAGATCTTCCTCCAGCTTTAAAGTTACAGCCGAGTTCCAAGTTCTGCTCAGTCCTCCCAGGATGCTGGGTTTAGAGGAGAGAAGCTGAGCCCGTCTACACATGTCTGTGACTCGCTAACCTGCCACAGGAGAATCCTAGTTGAGTAGGAACTAAAAAACAGAGGGAGCTTTCTAACACTGGTTATAAGAGAGATTGCTTTACTCTTCAGGTGGAAGTATATATTTCTTACCTTTTTTCTTCTTAAAAGAAGCAGTGGCACTACTGCTACTGAGTCTGGCCATGAATCCCCCAGGCCTGGCCCTGAATCTAGCAGGCTCACCCACAGTAAGTGTAAAAGGCATCATTGATCCCTGTGTGCTCCAGGGCACCTGTGGACTAGCTGTTCCATCACCTGTCTGGTATGGGTTTGGCACAAAGACAAACTCCTGTGTCGGAATGGAGATCGCAGAAGTGATGGTTTAATTAAAACTTTCATTGCCAATTAGAAAGAAAATTAAGGATATAGCAAATCTGCTATCCAGTTCTCTTACTAGGAACGTATTAGTATGCCACTGTCTTCAAATATGAGCTCACAATTGTACATGGAGTTCTCCATGATGGATATGAAAATCAGTAAAACAAACCACTTTCTGTATTTCTCGTGTGTGATTAATGAATGTAAATAGAATCTTTTTAGCTCTGATTTGCACACTGTACATTTTTTTTTCAGATATTGTATTGCGAATTAAAATATGGCCTTATCTTACTTTTCTTCGTTACCATGCAAAATGTTACTGCTGCTTAAGCCTGGTGCTACTTGAACTGGCAATTCAAAACATTTTTCAAAGTTCAGACTGATTGCACACTTTTGGGGTTTTTTTTATAGGACGTTTTTTAGTGCACGGATTATCTCCTTAATGTACAGAGCTCTTCTTTGAGAAGAATAGTCTTCAGCATCGCAGTTCCAAGACTCCACAAGAATGTCTGAACATCAGAGCCAGGCAAAGACATAGCACATTAAATTACAACTACAGTACATCTCAGAGAGCAGTTTCCTCATGTTACATTTCTATAGCTCGTTAATCCCACTCAGTATGTTTAAAAAAAGCATCATGAAGCTGCTGGAGCCATCAGCAGATCTGAAAAAGGCATGAACACTTTCTCTTCCGTAACCCTGATTCTGCCTGGCAGCTGCAGGAACTGTTAAATGCTTGAAATAAGTGAATCTTGATCACACAGAACAAGGCTTGAGGAGAGGTGGAGAGATTGAACATCACTCTTGGGCTGTTCTCGAAACCCTTCCACTCTGAGATACGGATAAGGGCTGGGTGACTCAACCCCAAGTGTGAAAGAACCAAGCAGGACACTCCAGAAATAGCAGAAGGCTTGCGCGACAAGGCTGTGCAGAGGCACAACCAATAATTACGCACAAAGATGGAACAGCATACTTCCTGTACAGCTTGAGAACATAAAACCAACAGTCACTGCTAAATCTGGCTCCTGCATCGCCATGCTTGATTACCACAGATCAAAATCAATTACTGCGACCTCATCACAGACTAACAGAAATGATCACCATTAGATTGAAGGAAATCCTTACAGGCTGCAAAAAGTCAGACCAAGGCAATAGCAGCAAATGATATTCTGGACTAGCTTGATTATTCAAAGACATGTTTCCTGACAGCACAACTACACTGCAGTCTAAGTCTGTGCACAGTAATTGGCTCACAAACGTCTTCCTTGGAACTCATCTGGAACTTGTCTTTTTAATGCCAGGAGAGATCGATATTTCTATAACACTGACATCAGAACAGATCGATTTAAGATTTACAATATATTATTGCTCATGTTTCAAGTCTTTAAATTCCTTGCTCTTTAAAACTTGAAGCCAAATTTAGTGGCGCGATAGTAGTCATGACCATTTCGTTGGCGTGACTGGACTGAGGAGTAATTTGTTCTTTGTGGAATTGTCTAGGCTTGTTAATCGGGTGCAGAGCAACAAATAAATATTTCAGGCACAGGTGACCCACGCCACTGTGATACTTGTCAGAGCTGGGCTTTTATTTATAGACACTGTCCTTTCGGCAGCCACCAGCAAACATTCATCTATTATTAAAGGGCTACCTTTCTCTGGAGGTGTCAAGGAGCTGAGCTCCATCACGAACCCTGGAGACAAGGTCGAACAAAAGAAACGATTAAAAACACAGAGCTGATCCAACGCTTCTGAATAATGAATGAAACCTAGCCAACAGGTCAGAGAGCCCAAAGAGCTGACTGTCAGTTCTGGAAACCCCTCTCTTGTCCTTTAGGAAAGCGCCGGAGGAAATATTTGCAAAAAAGGGTCAGAAACTCCTCAGGCAGGGCCTATTTCAATTGTGTTTAAGTTCATGCAGCTTTACAGCAGTAAACATCCAAGGTAATTCTGCATTTTTGCTTTTGTCCTATCTTGCTTGCATGCATTTAAAGCTTTCTTAACCAGAGTTTCACTCTGCTTTTACCACATTATAACCTAGCAAACGTTTATAAGGCTGAGCCTCCTGTGTGTTGAACGTTAGGGAATTCTGATGACAGTCCATTAATGACAACTTGTTCTCTGAACAAGCACAGTTACTGGCTGAGCCACTGAGGAGCCTTAGTTGTCTTTCATAACAACAGCTGCACCTAGGTAATAATAATTTATATTAATAATGAATAAGTCCTTACTTTTCTGGATACTCTACTCAAAGCACTTTACAGGTAATGGGGATCCCCTCCACCAGCACCAGTGTGCAGCCCCACCTGGATGATGCCCCAGTACTCTCCCCACACACCCGCTCTCAGTGGGGAGGAGAGCAGAGTGATGAAGCCAGTTCAGAGAAGGGGATTATTAGGAGGCCATGATTGGTAAAGGCCAGGGGGAATGTTTGGCAGGACACCAGGGTTAACATCCGTAGTTTTATGTCTCATCCAAAGGACAGCACCTTTTTTACAGCGCACTGTCCCCATTGCTACACAGGGGCGTTAGGACCCACACAGACCGCAGGGTGAGCGCTCCCAATTGGTCCCACTAACACCTCCTCCAGCAGCAGCCTTAGCATTTTCAGGAGGTCTCCCATCCAGGTCCTGGCCAGGCTGACACCCGCTGAGCTCCAGGGAGCTGCCAGCTGTGAGCCGCAGGGTGAGGGAGCTGCCGGCTAGGTGACACAAGAGCACACCCGAGGAAGGAGGGAACAAGCTAACAAGAGAAGCATCAGCTGCACTAAAAGTGCATCCGACGCTCTGCAGGGCAGAGAAGAAAAGCATGCATACCTGACTTTCCCTTTGGTGTTCCTCAGCACGGACGCAGCGAAGCTCTGCGTGACCCCAACAAGACTGGTCCCGTCCACTTCCACTATGAGGTCATTCACCTGGATCCTGGGGAGGAGACACGGTTCGAGTCAGCAGAAATCCAAAGTGTCTTATACACCTGCTACAGAAACGGTGGGGGAAAATGTCCACTCTTCTACTGAATCCAATAGTGAACATCTGCAAGCACCTAATAACATTTGCGAGTATTTGGCAACACTGGGAGTATTTTAATATATCTGAGCATATTTGGGGGCGTTCTGGAACATTTTGGAGGAGCTGAGGTCATTCTGAATCCCTGGGATCATCAGAGAACTTTTCAGGACATTGAGGACAACCCACCCAGCAGATGTGTGAAGGAAAAGCAAAGGGAAACCCACACTGAGTTCAGCATTCAGATATTGTCATTTTCTCCTGAACCGTGTTATGTTTTAAGATTTATAATGATAGGACATAGGTTATGGTGTAACTTAGGAGTGAAATGAAGCCACTGGACCTAGAGATAAGGCACAACAGCATATGCTAGAGTAAATAAGCTGAGAACAAAGCAAGATCTGTTCCAACAACAGCGACAGAATGAAGTCTGACAACAGGAAATGAGATGCACATCCGACACTGCTCCGCTAGGGATCAGACACCATTTTATTCAAAAACTTTCACACTTGTTTCTTTTTTCTCTGGAGTGCCACTTCTTCATGTGAGAGGCTTACAGCTCCTTATTTGCATGTATCCCCCCACCCCACCCCCCGTCTCTCCCTGACACAGCTAGAGCTGTGTGGATGTGTTTGGATCACAGCCCTCGGACTGGGGAGAAGAGAAATGGAGGGAGAAAGCAGGAGAAGGCGCAGAGAAGCCTCACATCAAACCGTGAAAGGGGTTTATTGTTGAAGGCAGGGTTTCTGAGGAGGAAATGTATCACAGCCAGGGATACTCGAGCTCACAGAAACTGCGCTCTTCTGTCCTCGCTGGACCGATACTGAACTGAAGGGTGTGTGTGTGGGGGGGGGGTGTGTGGGGGAGGGTGTTTTCAGCACTGGTACGGGGTGTGAGAAAGACAGGGAAGACTGGGGGACTTCCACAGAAAAGAAAAGAAGGAGCTGAGAGTTCTCGGGCGTTCAGGGGGTCGACTGGGGTGTAGGAGGGCAGTGCAGGTCAGGACCGGGACGTGACTTCAGATGCAGAGCCCCTTGTGGCATCAGTAGGCATCACAAACAGGACATGGGTGGATGATGAGGACACTGCCTTACCTTATCTTTAATAAGCAGTAAAAAAAACACAATGTAGTGGAAGAAGAAGCAAGGCAATCTCAGTCTTTAAAATGGACTTTACCTTCCCTGCCCACACCTGTGTTTTCGACAGAGACAACAAAAGGATGCTCGCTACACAAGCGGGGGACTTGAGCAACACTCTCACCCAGCGGAAACAAAGCGCCAGAGCTCATGTCTCCTGTTCCTCCATCCTCCTCCACACCTCCAGCATGTAACTCTGTGTCTGTGCTGTATTATTCATAGAGCTCACGCATCCTGTTACTGAAACAGGGATAAGAATAGCTTGTACCCAGCTCATACCGTTCACTGCCTGGACCCTGGCTGGCACAGACTGAGACGTTCTTGACGTAAGACGTGAGTGACCTTTGACCCCTGAACCCCTTGCAATGTGTACCTCAGAGCAGCAGGAAAAAGAAGAGGTGCTACCTGCCGTCCCTGTGGGCCGCCCCCCCCTCGGTGACCGTCTTCACGAAGATGCCCAGTTTCTCCAGGCCCATGTCCGCTCCAGCCCCCATCCCAATAATACTGATGCCCAGGCCGTCTCCGTCTGCAAGGGGATTGGGAAGGAGGGAGGAGAGAGAGTGACCAAACACAACTGAAATGGGACACAATTCTCTTCGGTTACCCTCCACCCACTGCTCAGCTCTCTATTTCCTTGACAACACTTGACACTGGCTCCCCACTGCTGCACTGAGACGGGCTTTCACTGCCTCTTTCTGCTCACACCCTCCGTCCCCGGGCTAAAAACAGCACAACCCTGGAGTGGAAGCTGCACGTCTGTCCTCCTCTCTGACATCTGGGAAGGGTGCAAGACCAAGCAAGCAGAAGTGATGCATGACACCCCAGGAAGTCTCTATTCACTACTACACAATACTAACAGGGACGCTGAGATGTGTTTAATGATGTTTAAATGACATGACTAGAGCTGATGCATAGAATTTATAGCCCAGATATGCTGTGGAGGCTGCTGTACTGAGACAAAAACACTGAAGAGCCTGTCGACTTCAGGATAACAGAAGAAGATAAGAGAAGGGTAGACCATCTTTACTCGTTTGGCTGCCTGTAGCTAATTGAGCCAAAAATCTGATCCAGCCCTTTATTCAAGGATCATAAGGAATCTGCATCAACAATATGGATAAGTCATTTTGTTCCAGACACCCAAACTCTTTGTGCAAAGAAGCGTCTCCCGCTTTCAGTCTTAAACGAACATTTATTTGCTTTCCACTCGTGCCCATAGCTCATTGTTTCACTTTCGTTTTCATAAGATCCTTCTGTCGTCAGAAGGCAGCTAACACTGTTAGGGTTGTGGCAAACTAACATCTACCCCTGGAGGGCAGGGAGGAGCAAGGCCGCACTCATGACTGCTCTCACCCTGGATGGGACACCAGGACAAACCCTGCCCACGGATGAGTTTTTGGGAGGTGGGAAGAAAACGGAATGTCAGGGGGCAGCAAACCCCGCGGGCAAATGGAGAGGGAACATGCAAACTCCATGCCTACAGATCCCAGAGTCCAGCATTGTCCAGACTGCGGCCGCCCTCACTGCCACGCCCCCCCCATGCGGGAGGCCTGGGCCAGCGCTTACCTTTCTCCAGTTCCACAGGGAACAGGTCCAGCCTCTCCACCCTCTTCTCCAGCTCGTACTCGGCCGAGGCAGCCATGGGGTCCACGTCATCGTTGCGCCGGTCGTAGTCTTCGTTGCAGTAGGTGGTGAAGACCTGGGGGAGAGGCAGAGAGACAGAGCTCCGTCACGTGGGGCCCACAACCTCAGCTAAAGCAGCACCATCTAGCTCTCCTTACATCACCGAACAGATACAACCTACACAAGACCTCCATGTACTCCCCTCCATCTTGTTTTAAAGCAAAAGCAAATGACACAAGAGGAAACAGATTAGCTGCCAGCGAAGGAAACAGCATTTGTCAGGGCTGACTGCTCCTGCTTTCATTTGTCTATTTAGCAAAACCCCCAAAACTAAGATGATTACAATTCAAAGAAAAGAGCAATTAGTGGAATTCAGGTAAGGTGAAGACCAACGTTTGTTTCAATGACTTAAAAAAACTGGAGAAAAGGACGTAACAAAGCACCAACCAGCAGGGAGGGGCTGAAATGGGGATACTGGTGACGGGGTGAGTTTGCAGAGCCAGGCAGAAAGGCCACACCCATTCCCTGCCCCTCCAAGCGAGCCTATTGAAATGAGAGCGTTCCTGCTAACTGACAATGCCCTCCACCAGCTGAACTGTGCTCCCTGTGTCCTCTCACTCCATGTGCCGTCAGCTGGAGCTGAAACACCACTGCAGCTGCAATCAAATCAATAGTGCCCTGGAGCCAGAGGGGGAGGAAGTGAGCACGTGGGCGCATGTGAGTCTGTGTGCACAGGGACTTGTAGTGCTAGAATTGTGGGGACAAGATCTGGACACTGTAAAGACAGTGACGAAGAGACGATGTGTTCCCACTTCTTTTCAAAAACCAAACGGGCATCTTATTTTATGGGCAAAAGGCCCAGAGACATACTACTTCTTGGGGTGAAATTTCATCCATTGTTGGGTTTTTTGGGTACCAGAAGTACAGGGATAGAGCACACGGAGACGTGGTGTGTCCACGTGTGTGTGTGCGCACAAGCATGCGCCAGTCACAGAGTCACCTTGCAGAACGGTCCCTTTCAGTCTCCCACCATCGAGCAGCTCAGCTCTACAGGAAGGAGCAGGGGCGGCTCACACTGACACTGCGTCAGGCAGCCTACACCTTCACGGTCTGCCTCACGAGGGGACAACAGCTTCCTTCTCCACAAGCCCAGTCGACCTGCCTTTACCCGGCCCCCAGACACGACTGGCCTGCCCCACACGGCATCCGCGCAGCAAAACAACGGACCGCGGGGATCCTCGACCTCCACCCTGCCAGGACAGCTCCTCCTGTTGTTCGCCCGTTCAAAAGTCAAAACTCAGAGCTAAAAACAAAAAAAGATCTTATCTGTCGTTTCCACAAAGACTTTTAGAATAACTCCCATACTACCTCCCTGGTGTTTCACTGGTTTTACAGCCTGGAAACATACATTTAAAAAAAAAAAAACAGGTAAACAAACATATGTTTTATCCTCCCGCTGCAATTCGTAAACTTGAGAATGTCTCTGGCTCCCATTCAACACAAGTCACTGACTTCATTATGATCCAAATGCATTCTTTTACTGCAGCAGGACAGTGTGATGGGCTGGCAGTACCAATACAGCCTTCAGCATGACCATCTAGGTCAGGCCCTGCATAACGCACAAGATCCATTGTCCCATCACATCTGAGGCTCAGGGCCAGACTCCAGGCTTATCACATGCACTGTGTGTGGCTGCACCACCTTGTGTTTAGTGTTCTGTTCTGTCCAGGTTATAGTTATTCTCCCGTGAAGGTTTCTTGGTTTAACATGACATGACTACGCGTGTGTACTAAATGCTGGAGTCCCCGATTATTTCTGATCCAACAGCTAGGCATAATGCCCAGCCTCGCAGAGCAGCAGGAGAGGAAGGGATTCATCTGCCCCAGGTCTGCCTGGTCAGACAAGGGCACGGGTCACAGCAACTGCCATAGATAGGGAATGCCTCATGACTGTGTCCTTTCCCTGCTGGCTCTGTCTCAGCTGCTGACTGGAAGAGTGAAACTGCAGTAGATGTCCCTGTAGCTATATCCCTGGATCTCTTATCATGTCAGCCTAATTCAGCCTGATTTCTATGGATACTGCATTTAAAAAGCTTTCTTACACTGCTGAATGGAAAGCTAAGGAGCTCATGTATTACCTAGAGCTTTGACATGTCTTTTTCCTTGGTCAGAGAGGCAAGGAAGACCCAACTCATTCAACTGGTCCTTCCTTACTGTTCCTGATATTGCAACACAAACCTCACATACAGGAGCCCCACAGTATGAGGCTTTCAGAGAAACAAATCATACCGCTTCAAAAACCTCAGAGCAATTTACACAAATCACAGGTAGAAAAGTAAGATCATGTGAAAGCGCTGGTGTTTAATTATCAAGATGAAGGTGCACTGTAGGTTTCATTCCTTATGAAACGAGTTATCAGTTTCATGCCAACACAGCAGCTACCTGAACTGACTGGGATTTTTCAACCTGTGTTTTTTTATTTCACTTTTTGAACACAGCCTTCCGGGGAATATGTTAGCGGTCTAAACCTCAAAGTGCATTTCAGTTTTCACCGCTAATTTTACATTTCTCCCTTGCATGGCTTTACACAGGGCTAAGCTTCCCATCCGAAAAACACAGACATCAAGGTTTAGGAAGTGTGCTGTTCGAGAGCAAACTAGGCTGTTTCGGAGACTTGTGTGGCAGATTTAATCCAGCACTGGTGTTTCGGTCCCCTTTAACTTTCTAGCTGAAAGAGGAGGTGCTGGCTTAATTAACAATTCGTGTCAGGGATGCTCAGAACGTCTCTGCTCAAGTTGTACCAAGCTGTTGATGAGGATCCCCATGCCAATAAAGCTCTGTGATGATTTGCTGTTTTTTTACAAACCCCAACTCCCCTTCCCCCCCGTAACCAGTCCCTCAAATTCCGGGAACTCCACCCCCAGCCACGACGACGGCATGTCTGTCCGTAGCTTCCAGCGTGTGGCATGGAGGGAGAAAAAGAGACCCAAGGACAAAATCTTTCCAAAGTAAAACTAAGAGTGCAAATCCCACATTCGCCCGCTTTGAAGACCACATGATTTTATTATCCTCTTCTTCTTTGTGGCAGGGAAAGACAATGTCTAGCATATCTGTGCCCTGTGCTACAAACAGGCATTTTAGCAACTAAAACTACAACACAAGAGCAATGCGTAATATACGAAGCAAACATCGAAAACACACATGCATATGGAAGAGGTCAAGGTTTAATTTCCTAACGCAGAACTGCGTCTTTTCTGTAGTCTCTCAAGCCCGGCGCGCTCTAGGGAAATGGAGGCTCTGTTAAAGCAATTCCTGCAGCAATTCCAGCGCCGACGTGTGAATCATGGAATAACTGGAGCTTCTCAAGAGAATCGCCAAAAAGAAAAAATCATGAAAAATGCCGGGCTTCCCTTCAAAGGGTGTCTAAGTCAGCTTGTAAAGAATTTCATTCTTGACTCTGAATCTCCCTAAACATCTACTCACTCTCCTCCTTCACTCGTGTTCGGTGCTCTGACGCAATCAGCTACGCTAGCACTGCGGGTGGCAGAACACCAGGCGTGCTTTCGAAAGAAAAATGGACAAAGCAGAACAAGGGGATTTGTTTCTGTTTTGTGGACAGGACTCTCCTCTGTGGATTGTCAACAGCATCACTGCTTGCTGAGGCTCACAAAGTCCTGTTCGATTTGACAGTAAATAGTTGCACTCTCCCCCCACCACATTCACTCTTTCCATCCTGCACAAACAGCACCGGCGCAACCTGTTACTCCGTGTACAACCGATAAGCGCCGTGGGGAGGGGGGACCACTGTCACAGATGCACACGCTGCCCAATGCGGCACGATGCACGCAGCGAGCTCTGTGACCAGGACACAGGATCACCACTCATTGAGAGGAACCTCCCCCTCTCCCGTTTCAGATCGCCTGAGTCGGGCCCCTTCTTCCAGGGGGCTGGAGCGCTAATAAGGCCCTGCAGTTGCAGGGTGCAGGAAACGGAGAAAGAAAAGCCTAACATGGAAACATTTTTTTTAATGTTCCTCACCCACGGTTACCCACCACTGGAGAGGTGACGCTGACAACCGGGCGTTTCGAATGGCCGAGAAAGAACGAAAGGTATTTCTCGCCTTGCCCTCATCCTCTCTGCTCCTCCCTCCTCTCACCTCCCTACAAACAGCTAATTCCTCCTTCCCTCTTCAAGAAATCCTGCATTAAACAAACATGCGCTGCCCAGCCCTGCATTTCCAAAGAGGGCCCCGGTCTGAGTTGCTAATAATTAGCCACCTCACATTCCCCCTCTCCTTGGCGTTTCTATGTGTGAAAGCCGACAGCAGGCACTGGCATCTCTCGCTGAATAGCACCGTCCTCATCACGGGTTCCATCGCCATGGCAACCTCACAGCCTCACAATTATCCGCACTCCGCCAGCAGCCTCCTCGTGCTCCAATAGGAAGGCGGAGGTCCTCTCCGCTCTCCCTCCTTCCCAGGGGATTTACCGACGGAGCAGGCCGGAGTGTGACCACGCCGGCTTTTCCCTCCTGCCGCAAGAAGCCACAAACCTCTCTTTGAACGAAAACAAGCCCCCCCCCCCCAACCCGCTCCGACAAATGAGACTAGCAGCCGAAGCCTCCGACTGCAGAGGCTTGGCTTTCCCTCTAATACTGTAACAGCCGCTCGGCTCCTGAAGAAAAAGGGCAATGCCGAGAAATGACAGGGCGTTTTCACAGGAAGGGCGTAGCCACAGTCGAGCACAAAGATGCCAGTCGGCGAGGTGTTTTACTGAACACAACCCGAGATTTAGCCCCCACAGCGGCGCTTATCTTCCTCAGTTTTAAGAGCAGAGAGGGGAAGTACTGTTTCACATTCCGGCACAGGGGAAACTCTGCCAAGCCACAGCAACGACGGCCAACACAGACGGCCAGCTGTAATGCACATAGTTGAACTCCATTTTGTGTCCTGCACAAGACAGCAGTAGTACTTTCTGAAATGGAATTCCCCTCCTCCTCCCCTGGTTTGAAATCATTAGTCATGATTTACAGTAGCTCAGTTTGGGAACAGGGGGAGGGGCTGTTCTCTGAGCTGTCA